TAATGGTTATAACAAGGAAATCTTGCTGGTCCCTTAATGCTCGTTATAATTGAGTTTAAGTGTAATTATAAGTTATCTATCAAATGCAATTTGCCAAAGTGACGACACTTCAACCTCTGCAGCGATAATACAATTCAATTCCATATTTGTATATCACGTCTTACAATTTTTTCAGTTATCATACTTGAATAATGATATAAATTATTTGAATTTAAATTCTAATTTTCTCATATTGGCTATGTTAAGTTTAATTAATTGTGGTTTTTATAATAATTGTTTTTCAGTCATTAGATAAGCTAGAAAAATTACTTGCTGATGCTGAAAACAAAGCAAGAGAAAACAGATTTGATACGAGGCAACCTAAGTGGAAAAAAGAATATAGAAGAGAATCATTCAGAGATGGAAATCGGAACACGAAATTTGATCAGTTTAAAAAAGATAAAAGTGATGCGTACGAAAGTTATAAAAAGCAATTTAAGAAAACTGATGAAAGTGTAGAAAGTTATAATCGTAATTTTACGTCAACTAGTGAACCAAAATTCACTAAATCTGCACCAAAATGGATGAAGAAAGAATTTCACAATAAATATCAAGTTGATAGTAAAGGTAAAATTTTAAAAGTTTATATTAAAATGTTTTTTCTTTAAATTACAGTGGAACCTCGCTTAACGAGCACCTCGCATAATGAGCAAAACAAATTGTAAAAAATTGCCTCGCTTAACGAGTGATGAGGAGAGGGAAAATCCCAAATTGTGTGCATGCTCCATCAGTCTGTGTTTAGCACTTGTTTCGTTAGCATCTTAGTGTTGTTTGTGATCACATATTTTTCCAAACTTGTGTTCACACATATTACTTTTAAACATCAGCAACTATATCCTGTTATATAATAAACATGCCAAATGATATGCCAAATTATTTGGCTTTGTAAAGGTTATAATTAAATATTAGAAATTAATTAATTTGACTAGAGGTAGGCAGTTATTCTGCCGTCTCATATTAAATTTAATGTCCATTTCCAAATTAAATTTAGAAATGTCTGAATTAAAAATTAACTATTTATAATTATTAAATTTAATATGAGATGGAAGCATAACTGCCTACCTCTAGTCAAATTAATTAATTTCAATTATTTAATTATAGCCTTTACATAGCCCAAGAATTTGGCATATCGTTTGGAGTGTTTATCAAACATATTATCTGTGATTCTTTTTGTTTTCTGCAAATCGAATTCTCATTCCAGGTTGGTTCATTCCGCGCTAGAAGAAAAGACGGTGATGATTCACGCTCCTTAACAATGCACATTGTACAATTTTCTTTGAATAAACGTTATATATAAAATATTTGAGTATTTTTTTCGGAATGGAATGCATTATCGTATTTTACATTAATTTCTATGGGAAAAATTGTTTCGCTTAATGAGTATTTCACATTATGAGTAAGATTCTGGAACGAATTATGCTCGTTAAGCGAGGTTCCACTGTATATAAAACAGTCAGAGAATATTGTAAATAATATTTTTTTTAACAATAAATATCGTGATACTTAATCTATATTAAAGACAAATATACAATCCGACACGTCAGCGTTAAACAACTGTCTCTTTTCCGGTTCAAATTACAGTTCTCTCTTTCCCTTTCGGTCCATCTATAAACAGTTTTTTCTTCTAAACATGCCAGCGATACAATATATAAATATATATATTGTATCGCTGGCATGTTTAGAAGAAAAAACAAATACATATATATTTATATATTGTATCGTTTTTTTAATTCTTTCTGCCCTGTGGGCACTAAGAGGGCCTCTTTTTGCAAGCCCATTATTGGTTCGGCCAGGCCCACAATGGGGCTGCCGGGTGGTGAGGGATGGGGCCCGACATATCCGAACGGACCACCCCCGAAAAATTCCTGGGGATTTTTCGACCCGTTCGGATTCGAACCCGGGTTCCCCAGAGCAGTAGGCTGCCACCTTGACCGCTCGGCCATCCGGCCATATATTGTATCGTATGAGGCTCAGGACTGGTCCGAATCCTCACTAAAATTTGCGCTAAAATTATTTTTTTAAAGGAAAAAAAATCTAGAAATAATTATTTTGTATAAAAACGCGATATGACTTATGAACAATACAAGAAAAAAAATTGTAATAAATGAACCGATCCAAAAGTAAACAATGTATAATAGGCAAGCGCCAAATCCGACAGAGGGCGCTGTTTTTCAGCCAAGATGGCTACCAACACAGGTAACTGTGATGCTCGTGCAGAAGAGAGCATGCAAGTACCGAAGGTTAAATCGAAAAGCCACTCTATGTGTTGCGTGGTAGGCTGCACTTCCACAGCATTACCTGGACTTGTAAGCTTACATGTATTCCCGAAGTGTTCAAAGCTAAGAAAACAATGGGCAATTAAATTGCGCATTGGTAAAAAGGTTCATGACAGAATGTTGGTATGCAGTAAGCATTTCAATGACACAGATTTTTTCCCACCACCACCAGGTATTTTATATTTCCACATCATGTATCTTTATTTTAATTTCTTTAATTAATAATTGTTTATTGCAATTTAAAATTAGGATTGGTTGCCATTAGGCGCCGATTAAAAAAAGATGCAGTGCCATCTCAGTGCATACCCAAACGATCTTTAGAGAAAACACTACCCTCAACAAATGTTGATAAAAGGAGTGCTCGTGCTGCAGCTCGAGCAGCTTCAGGTAATGTTGCTAAATGTCTGTTAAACATTAAATATATGTAAACCATATTCTATCATTATTTAAGTGGTTTCTTTTTACCTGCTTTCAGGAGACACTGGGAAGAGGACTGATCATGAGGCTGAGAAAGAATTAACAGCAGCTGGAACGTTGTTGGAGCTGAGCTCAGTTAGGGAACAGTTAAAAACAGCAGAAGTGTCGTTGGAGCTAAGCTCAGTCAACAAAATGTCTGAGGAAGATGGACAATCCAGAGTTTTTACCACCTCCACATCAGATGAAGTTTCGCCTAATATTGTGTTAAGTTCAGAACAACCTACACTTGGCACCATGATTCAAACACACAGACAGCTCTATGCATTTACTGGAATACAAACATTTGACTTGTTGAATGCTATTGTTAAAGCTGGAGAACCCCTTGATAAAAATCAGCGGCTTTTATCATTCCATGATAAAGTACTGCTAACTCTTTGCAAGTTAAAATTAAACATTACCTTCACTTGCATAGCTCTCTTATTTAAAATTCCTGAAAGTACATGCAGAAGATATTTCAAAGAAACATTAATTGTATTGGAGGCAGTTTTAAAAAGTGCAATATAACAAAAGAGAATTTCTTCAAAATTTACCATTAAGTTTTTCCAATTATACAAATGTTTGAATAATTTTAGATTGCACTGAGTTTGCAGTTGAAAAAACAAAGTGTCTAAGGTGCAGAATCCACACATACTCACATCATAAAGGGGGCAATACAATTAAGATCCTCCAGCAGGACTGATTACATTTGTGAGCAAAACTTTTGGTGGAAGAGCATCTGACAAAGCTATCACAGAATGGTATGGTGTGTTAAATAAACTAGAGCCATTTGTTGATGCAGTAATGGTGGATAAAGGTTTCCACATTGATGAATCTTTGCAGAAAGAGACATTCACCTCATAAGACCACCATTTTTGTGGAGACAAACTCAATTAACACATGAACATGCACTGGAAACAAGTCAAATAGCATCGGCCAAGTCAAATAACAAGTCAAATAGCAAATAGCATCGCCATTCAAAGACTGAAAAACTCAAATTTTGTCAATAAAATTAAATTGGACCAGGTTGGGATTGATAGATTCAATTTTGTGCATTACTACTGGTATTGTAAATCTAAGTAGTCCAATTCTAGATACTGAAAGATTTTATAAACCTAAAAAAAATCACAGATGCCAAAGTCAGTGACTTACATATTTTTATTAAACATTTCAACAATGAATGGCAATATACACAAAAAGTACTTTTTTCTCAGACTTTCAAGCATATCATTTATAAATTCATTGTCTTTCTTGACTTGAATAATCAGAGCAGATTCATGCTTACTGTAAACATATAAATGGCACATTTCCATGTTTAATAAAGCTGAACCTGGTCATAATATGGATTTTTCTTCTTTAGCTGGTATCCATTGTGGTTGTTACCTGTTAAAAAGTTTATTTTTTTACTTGTTATCAAATCTGATGAAGTTGCTGCAAGAAGAGGGCATTTTATTTCAAGAAGATGCAATGGTTTGACATGTTGAAAAACAATGCCAACCAAGGCAGCTGGGGTAAAATGAGCAACCCAACCTCCACTATGTTTGTCCCAGTATCCTTCATATGTTTTTCTCGAGCAACATTTTCCTGACTCAACCCACACCTTGTAGCTTTGTTTCCAGTAAATGGATTAAAATATAAGGAATGTATTTTTTTAGTCCAATCTTCAATGTTGTTTGAATTAAACGTGTACAAGGAATAGCATTTACTGCCTGAGATTCTGAAACTTCGCTCAGTATCCCAAATAGGGTCACCCTGCACAATGTTTTTAAGCATGTTAAATGCTAGTGTCAATACAGACTTTATCTTCATAAAATTCAAGTTCTTGCTTGTTTAATGCAAACTTTTTAATGCACAAGTAATCTTCTGTGCAACAGCTATAACTAAAATTGATACTGGAATATTTTTCAGCAATCAGATTTTCTGTTTGAGAAATGGAAATAATTGCTTCCAATAACTTAATTTTATTGGGAGCTGCTACATCTTGTTCCTGGATGACTTTCTTTTGCAAAACTTTTCTTCCAGTAATGTGCTTTGCAATTGAGCTGTTTGGTGCTCCACTAAGCAGCTGTTCATGAATTGATTCAACATCATTCAAATGAATATTCTTTAGAGGCAAAACTCCTCAACAGGCTTGGGAAGATATGTTGACTCTTCATCATCTTTTACCTTTCCCCACTGTCTTTTTAAGTCTGTACAGCTTGCATCTTCTAACGTATGAACTCCAACTCTAAAACCATTCAGATATTTAAGTATATATATATGAGACATGTACTAAGCGCGCGCGCGCGCACACACACACACACACACCAAAAAAACGAAGAAAGAAAAAAACATAATGTGTGCTACAAACTTTGGACTGCCCTATGTTGTATAAGTGCAGAATGACTCAGCAGGGCAGCCTTCAGATTGGCACTAATTTTAACTATCATTATTATAATAAATAAAACTATGTTTTTATATTGGAACATGTGTATACTGCTTAAAATATTTAAATACTTCTCATCTGTTATGTTTACATATTACAGTATATAGCATGTTTATTATACCAGACAGCCCTGCTTTGCACGTGCATTCTCCTTGTAATTGAGATGTATTAAAATGACAATATCTGAGATTAAATGTTTTAATTATTATTAAGAAGTATGACTTGCCTGTATTCCTACTGATGAAATCTTTATTTCGTGCAACTTGTTTGCCGGCCTGCTGCTTTGCAACACTAAAGCAACAACATGAACTTCAGTGTTGTTGTTAAGAGTTAATCCACAAAATACGATGTGTCCAGCATCCAAAACGGCTTCACCTTCTACAAGACAACGTTTCCTGTCGCCGATATAGTCTAGAACAGTGGTTCTTAACCTTTAGCGATGAGGGACCATTTATCAAAATTTTTGTCTTGCCAAGGATCACGAGCTGTTTGGCAGTAATGTAGGTTCTTATAAGGTTGTTCTATAAATTAAACACGTAGAAAATTATTCGGAACCAAGAGTATTATATTATTTGCGAAAGTGTTACATTAATTATATTAGTGCGATTTTTGTGACTGCATACTGTTTACCAACTGCCGAATTCTTGGTTCAGTGCTACTCAAAGCAAATGCATGTCGGCACTGGCATCCAACCGATTTCGATGTTTATTTTTAATTATCAAAAGCACTGAGAATCCTTGCTCGCATAAATATGTGGTTGAAAATAAAGTTAGGTACTGTATTTTAGGGAAGGGAAATTTTAGGGCAATAGCTTTTTGGCTCCAAAAATCTTTAAGATTAATTCCTGTCTCGAATGTATCCTTGCAGTTACTATCATGTTGCATTTCAATTAACTCTTCTTGTATTTCATCCGGCATCCAATGTTCCCTCTAATTTTTTTTGTAGATGAGCGGAACATATACTTCTCTGAGCAAAAATATTTTATGAGCATATATATATATAATCTTATTTTTTCCTGTAAAAATGAAAATAATTAGTTATAAAGTAGAGATTAAAATTCATTTTAAAACATACTTTTATACGAAATATTATCTTTTGTCAATGATTTAATGTATTTAATCGAAATACACGCAGCAATAATCATGTTGCAGACAGTGAGAAATAACTAAACAACAATTCAAATCGGTGTGCATGCTCGCCTGCGCGGCATATAAATTCTCGTGCGCGGCAACAATTTGAGCAGTGCGCGGCCGCGCAGCTTAAGCCCTGGTCACACTATGCGATTTCCAGCCGCGCAGGCGACTGCAACCGCGACGGCTGTTCCCGTTAAGCCCTGGTCACACTATGCGATTTCTAGCCGCGCAGGCGACTGCAACCGCGACGGCTGTTCCCGTTAAGTAGTAATCCCCCCTCGAAAACCGGCGCGACTGCAATCGCAACTAGAAACAAAAAGTTTGTTCTACTCGCGACGATTGCAAACGCGCATCCAATCAACAAACGCCTTTATGCCACGTCATACAGTGACAACATTAAAAATTAGTGTTGTAACGAATAGTATATTTGTTACAACACTAATAACCTCAGGCCGAATACCGAATATTCGGCCAAGAGGGTGGCCGAATAGCCGGCCAAACTATTCGGCTTGATTAACGCACGTACGAAAATTGGCGCACAAACCGCATCACAACAAGAACCCTGCTCTCCATTGGCCCGCTGTCACTACGCTTCGCCAATCGCGTTAATTCTTGACAGTTGTAGCCTACAGACAAGAGTGTCATGGAAGTATGTGATAAATGATATCAAATGACCTACACTTGTAAATAACGGAAAAAGAACAGAGGACTGCGAAGTGAAAATGTGAAAATAAGTATGAAATTGAGTTGATAACATAATCGAACAAGTCGAGGCAGCTTATTGGCACGAAATTCGCGCCCGTCAATGCCAAACAATTGTTGTCATAGACTTCGGAAAGCTAAATGCTTGTAATGAAAGTCACTTAGTGTGCACGGGCGAAAGCCTGGAGCCCTTCGGGCTATCAAGCTGTCTGGAATCTGTGAAATCATAACTGTGACTTATATCGACGTCCTATCTGTCTCTTTTCTCTGTTATCACCAGGTTGAGTCACGTAATTGTAAAATGGGAACTGTACGACGGAAAAGTGACGAATCGAAAGTATCGTGAGCGCGTATTATGATGTATGCACAGGCATA